GGTCTGAGGAGATGGGGAGTGGTGTTCTAATTCAAATCATTGTGTAACCTTGCCCCTCCTGTCTGCTCAGACTGCTGGGATAATCGGTCTCTTACTAAGAGAGTTCTTGTGCTTTAAACATTTGATAAAGATAAACCAGAATTTCCAAACGTAGATAGATCAATAGATAGATGATAGATTATAATGATAGATTGTGGGTAATAACGATAATAGATATATTAGAAAGAGGTGATAGATAAGTAAATTATAGACATAAATTATAGAGAAATACAATCTAGATTGCAATAATAGGTTGATACTGGATATATATATATAATAGGTGACCTATAGATAGAATATAGATAAATGTCAGAGAGAAGATTAATAGGTAAGTTAACGATAGACAGATACATAGATAATATCCAAAAGGACTCAAAGAAAGACTCAAATGGAGATTTGCACATTTGTGTTCACAATCTACAATAGCCAGAAGGTAGAAAAGGTCAAATTTTCCATCAGTACACAAATGGATGATCACATGGTTTGCACATATTTATAAAAAAAAAAAAAGAAGAGGGAAGAACAAAATTCTGTCATTCTTTCCAGCAGAGGAGAAACTGAAGAAAACTGTGCTCGGTAGAATAAGTTCAACACAAAAGGCCACATTGTATGTTTCTTCCGCTGTGAGTAATAAGTTACTACAAGCAAACTCCCAGGGACAGAATGCAGAGGAAAGATTATAGCCTGGGAGAGGCAATCATGTGGGGTTATTGCTTGCTGTAGGCCTCATTTCTATTTGAAATGACAAAGAGTTTCCAGGTGAGATATTGAGAGTGGTTAAACAGTCTTGCAAATACACTTATACACTAGGAATATATGATGGATAGGTGATAAGTTTTATGCTATGTATATTTTGTCACAACAAAAGGATAATACTCCAACATTTTCTGCTCCTGCCAAGGGGGAACTCTCTAGTACACCAAGTTCCTGTTGCAACAACAAAGTCAAACAGAGATAGCAAAGGAAGAAGGATTCCTAAGGATGTTCAAGTCACCCACAACAAGGTAGAGAAGGAGAAGCTGAGGGACAAGAAACAGCCAGGAAACAAAATGCAAAGTAGAATGGTAAATATGGCACAGGAATGGTTTACCTTGCGGGGTAAGGTGGCACGCACCTGCAGTCCCAGGGGCTGAGGCAACAGGATTGCCACAAGTGTGAAGCCAATCTGAACTACAGAGTGAGTTCTAAGCCAGCCTGTGCTACATTGTGAGATCCTGTCTCAAGCAAACAAACACCTTAAAAATAAATGATCTGAGTCCCAGGACTCAGAGGAAAGTAGATCTCTGAATTCAAGGTCAGCCTGCTCTACAGAGTGAGATTCAGGACATTGTAGGGCCACACAGAGAAACCTTGTCTCAAAAAATCAGACCAAACCAAAACAAAAAGGTGTGACTACATCAATTAAAAGACAGAGTTTGGAGGAGGTGATTTAAAGACAGTTTGATAGTCTGCGGTCATACCAACCTCAGATCACAAGATCTCAACTAAAGGTGACCCGTCCATGTTCTGTCTGCAGAAATTCAAGAAAAACACGGGAAGGCTGGAAGAAACAGAATAGAGAAAAGAAACTCTACTCACATCAACCGAGAAAGAGCAGGAGAGCTGCCTTGTCTCTGTCCACTCACAGGCACTCAGATGTTGGGCTCCTTACACCCTGAGACTTACTAATGGTTCTTTTGGTTTGCTTTTTAAGTGCTGGATGTTCTCCATAATGGCAGTACTAAGTGGCATTCTCCCCATCAATAAGAAAGAGCCCTCCTCCCTTTCTCTGTAAGCCCCCAGCACCTGCTACCTGTTACCTACATCCCCTGGAGTTTTTGATTTGCATTTCCCTCTGGACTAGTGGGGATTGTGGTCAGGGACTCTCACGTAGGTTTTAGCGTTTGCATAGCCTTTCTGAGAACTTACTAGCCAGATCATTAGTTCTTAGCTGGATGATCTGGTGTTCTCCAGTGAGTAGCTAGAGTTTTCTTACCTTGAGCTTCAACCCCTCATTGGATAAGAGGCCTACAAATGTTTTCTCCCATTCTTCTTAGCTGGTTTCTCCTTTGCTGTATAGAAGCGCCATCGTCTGACTTGATCCTGGTTGTCAATTTGGAGTTCTGTTGCCTCACATTTGGGGTCACATTCCCAAAATCTTTTCTCAGGCTGCACCTTGCTTTCATTGAGCAAGACTGGTCACTCCACAGTTGCAGATCTTGTACTTCAATCTTAACTCCCTTTTAAGGAATCTTTGTTGATTAGTATGAGGAGAGGCTACCAAGCTGGTAAGTGTGCTCTACACACCTGGACTGAAGTGCATCTGTACTGGCCTGTCCTTAGGGTCCTGACAGGCTACTTCCTCAGCTGCAGCCACTAAGAGCACTTCCTGTGCACATTCACTAAGTTTCCTTATAAAAGGCAGACTTTGCCGACCTTGTGTGTGTGTGTGTGTGTGCCTGTGCATGTGTGTCTGTGTGTCTTCCTCTCTTTCCTTCTCTCTCCCTTCCTCTCCCTCCCTCTCCCCCACCACTCTTGTCCCCAGGGGCAGGTCCCTGCCATCCTCTCTGCCCCCTTCTCTGCCCCATCTCTCTCCTCTTCCAATAAACCCCCATGTGAGCCCTGTTGTATGGAGTGACTTCTCTTCACGCTGATTTTAAAGAATTTATGACAGAGCATTCTCTGAAACAGAATAAGGTAGAAAAGGCCAATTATTAGATAGTGGTTTGTTGATTTATTTCATGATCTACTTAAAGCGCTGCCTGCATTGTCTACTTGGCAAGCATAGCTTCATTTGCTTCCTGGAACTGAATGACTTGGAAAAGAAGCCGAAACAATGGGCTGGTGCTCTTAACAGCCTGCTCCCTGCCACGTAGGCTTTTGTAGAATCTCATTTGCTTGCCCACGCCACCTTGTGGTTTTGGAGTATAAAATGAGAAATCAAACTGAACCTGAACCAAGGCCTTTCAGGAACTGTCCTGGTCCACAGTGACATCTCTCTTCCACTCACATTGGAGTCAGAGCGCTTATTCCAAACAGACTCCCACGACGTTTCCTGAGGTCCCCAAGCCAGACGTCCTTCACCACAACCTCAACTGGTCTGCAGAGGCTGCAGCTTGGACCCTTTCAGCCCAGGAAGCCAAGCCCCAATGGGATTGTGAGGTCCCCTTCCAGCGGGCAAGGGGTAGGTGAGACCTAGGACCAGAGTCTCTGAGTAAAAGAAGATGAGACTGAGCAGTGAAGACAGGCAGAAAGAGCTATGCACAGGCTTGACCACCCTGCAGGACATTGTATTGAAAGAGGTGACACACGTTTCTAGGGAAAAGCCTTAAAGGGATACTCAGGCACTTGTATTGTTCTCCAGAGAGATACACAGCCAAGGAATTGAATATAAGAACATGTAACTCCAAGGGGAAGGGGAACGACTGTGTGAGTGCTGTAATGATCCCAACCTGTGGATATGGGTTTGATTAGGCCCCAACCTGTATTTGCACTGAGGTCTTTTCTCTGAAGCAGCTCTTGCCTTTCTTAATAGGAGGTGACCGAGCATGGGGTTATACATGGGGTTCTAAGGTAAGGGTTCTTAAATTGGAGACAGGCAGCGGTCAAGTGGGCACCTGTTTGAGGGAGAAGTTGGACTTCTCCAGTCCACCTTACACATCCCACAGGATTGGGTCTAAACATATACCCCTCTCAATTCCTGCTTAGAAACTCTTCTGGTCATGGGGCCTGAACAGTCCTATGTGAGACCTATATAGTCCAGCAAAGACTGTTAAGCATGAAGACATCAAGAAAGCCCCAATTAGCCTCCCATGAAATTTTGCCATGATGGCACCTCCTACTGGCTCCAATTGTCAGGGTCACAAGGTACGAAGGCAGGAGCAGGCCACCAGATCAGGTCTCTCCAGTGACATCAACCTACCACCGAGAGAAGTGCCAGGTCCTTCTTTATCCAAGCTGTGCTATCTGGCACCATACTTAACCACTCTGCAGACCAGCCAGAGTTGTGGTGAAGGAGGTCTGGCTGGGGGACCTCAGCAAATACTGGGGCGTCATTCTGAAAGAAGCGCTCTGATGCAGATAAGAGCAGAAGAGATGGCACTGTGGACCCACGCCAGGACAGCTCCTGAAAGGCCTTGGCTCGGGTCCAGTTTGCATTCTCACTTTATACTCCAAAACCACAAGGTGGCAGGTGGCGTGAACAAGCAAATGAGATTCTACCAAAGCCTACGTGGCAGGGAGCAGGTCGTTAAGAGCACCAACCCATGGCTTAGGTGTCCTTTCCATGTCCTTCTGTTTTGGGAAGCAAGTGAAGCTATGCTTGCCAAGTAGGTAATACAAACAATGCTTTAAGTAGAACGTGAAATAGATCAGCAAACCACCATCTAATAATTGGCCTTTTTTCCTACCTTATTCTGCCTTAGAACATGTGCTTCAGGACACGTGTGCATAGCACACTCATCAGCTCAGTATATATTTATTAAAACTGAGTCAGGAGTGAAGTACAAGACCTGAAATTGCAGAGTGACTAGACTTGCTCAATGAAAGCAAGGTGCAGCCTGAGCAAAGATTTTGGGAATGTGACCCCAAATGTGAGGCAACAGAAGTCAAAATTGACAACCAGGTTTAAGTCATATGATGAAGCTCTGTTCAGCAAAGAGGAAAACAGCTAAGAGACAGTCTGCAGAATGGAAGGAAGCACTTGCAGGCCACTTATCCAATGAGGGGTTGAAGCTCAAGGTAAGAAAACTCTAGCTACTCACTGGAGAACACCAGATCATCCAGCTAAGAACTAATGATCTGGCTAGTAAGTTCTCAGAAAGGCTATGCAAACGCTAAAACCTACGTGAGAGTCCCTGACCACAATCCCCACTAGTCCAGAGGGAAATGCAAATCAAAAACTCCAGGGGGTGTAGGTAACAGGACTCTTATCAAAACACAGGAAGTAGCAGGTGCTGGGGGCTTGCAGAGAAAGGGAGGAGGGCTCTTTCTCATTGATGGGGAGAGTGCCACTTAGTACTGCCATCATGGAGAACATCCAGCACTTAAACAGCAAACCAAAAGAACCATTAGTAAGTCTCAGGGAGTAAGGAGCCTAACAGCTGACTGTCGGTGAGTGGACAGAGACAAGGCAGCTCTCCTGCTCTTTCTCGGTTGATGTGAGTAGAGTTTCTTTTCTCTATTCTGTTTCTTCCAGCCTTCCGGTGTTTTTCTTGAATTTCTGCAGACAGAACATGGACGGGTCACCTTTAGTTGAGATCTTGTGAGCTGAGGTTGGTATGACCGCAGACTATCAAACTGTCTTTAAATCACCTCCTCCAAACTCTGTCTTTTAATTGATGTAGTCACACCTTTTTGTTTTGGTTTGGTCTGATTTTTTGAGACAAGGTTTCTCTGTGTGGCCCTACAATGTCCTGAATCTCACTCTGTAGAGCAGGCTGACCTTGAATTCAGAGATCTACTTTCCTCTGAGTCCTGGGACTCAGATCATTTATTTTTAAGGTGTTTGTTTGCTTGAGACAGGATCTCACAATGTAGCACAGGCTGGCTTAGAACTCACTCTGTAGTTCAGATTGGCTTCACACTTGTGGCAATCCTGTTGCCTCAGCCCCTGGGACTGCAGGTGCGTGCCACCTTACCCCGCAAGGTAAACCATTCCTGTGCCATATTTACCATTCTACTTTGCATTTTGTTTCCTGGCTGTTTCTTGTCCCTCAGCTTCTCCTTCTCTACCTTGTTGTGGGTGACTTGAACATCCTTAGGAATCCTTCTTCCTTTGCTATCTCTGTTTGACTTTGTTGTTGCAACAGGAACTTGGTGTACTAGAGAGTTCCCCCTTGGCAGGAGCAGAAAATGTTGGAGTATTATCCTTTTGTTGTGACAAAATATACATAGCATAAAACTTATCACCTATCCATCATATATTCCTAGTGTATAAGTGTATTTGCAAGACTGGTTAACCACTCAGGTGGATCCAGAGGTGACACGGGTTTCCAGGGAAAAGTCTTAAAGGGATACTGAGATGCTGGTATTGGACTCCAGAGAGATACACAGCCCAGGAATTGAATATAAGAACATGTAACTCCAAGGGGAAGGGGAACGATTGTGTTAGTGCTGTAATGATCCCAACCTGTGGATACGGGTTTGATTAGGCCCCAACCTGTATTTGCACTGAGGTCTTTTCTCTGAAGCAGCTCTTGCCTTTCTTAATAGGAGGTGACCGAGCATGGGGTTATACCTGGGGTTCTAAGGTAAGGGTTCTTAAATTGGAGACAGGCAGCGGTCAAGTGGGCACCTGTTTGAGGGAGAAGTTGGACTTCTCCAGTCCACCTTACACATCCCACAGGATTGGGTCTAAACATATACCCCTCTCAATTCCTGCTTAGAAACTCTTCTGGTCATGGGGCCTGAACAGTCCGATGTGAGACCTATATAGTCCAGCAAAGACTGCTAAGCATGAAGACATCAAGAAAGCCCCAATTAGCCTCCCCAGGGCATGAAATTTTGCCATGATGGCACCTCCCACTGGCTGTTAAGCGTGCAGATACGGAATTTAGATACAGAAATTTTTACTGATGGAACTGAAGCCTACAACAGGGGAATAGCCTCTCACGTCAAGAGATTCAAAATGGCAGTACATGGAAGAAGGGGACATGCTTACCTCAGAAGCAAAGATATTGAAGCAGAGATCAAACCCTACACCTCGTAGAAGCTGCCTTGGCACCTTTTGTGGTAGTGGTGAGTGCCAGGCTCACACAGAGCCAGGGTCCAGTGAGTTGGGGAAATCAATTGGCAAACGAAGCAGCCAGGCAAACCACTCTCCATGAAGAGAGAGCTCTGCAGTGTCTAAAGTATGTTTTATACTCTCTGTGCGCCCAAGACCTCCTGTCACATAAGCCAGGAGAAAGGAAAATAACAACTAATAAAAGGGAGAAAATCAAGAAGGTTGGCTGATTACCACAGATAGGAAACTAATAATTCCTGCGATGACAGCTCAGCCTAGTCTGGCAAGCTCATGAAACAGCTCCTCTGGAAAAACTGTCTGTGTTCATGAGGGTTCTCTAGAGTAACAGACCTTACAGAATGAATCTACACCTATATAGATAGATACAGATAGATAGATAGATTTATTGATTCAGCTCTCTAGACAGACAGATAAAGGGGATTTACGCGTATTTATATATGGATAAGGGAGATTAGTATATGTAAAGGCGATTTATTAGAATGACTCACAGGCTGTGGTTTCGCTAATCCAACATGGGTGGCTGTGAACGGGAAGTCAAAGAATCCAGTAGTTTCTCATCACAAGGCTGGATGCTTCACCTGGTCTTCAATACACGCCAGAATCCCAAGGAAGTGGGCTCCGATGCCAGTGATGGAGTGGGCTTGCTAGTGAGGTGAGAACACACAGGCAAAAAGCAACAGCTTCCTTCTTCCATGTGCTTAAATAGGCTTCCAGCAAAAGGAGTGGCCAAGAAGAAAGGTGTGCTTCCTCACCTCAAGATCCGGATTAAAGGTGTGTCTTCCCACCTCAGAGATCCTGATTGGAAGTGATTCTTCCCACTTCAAATGAAGCAAAAATCCCTCACAAGTGTGCCACTCCATTTTCGGGTTTTAGTTAATTCCAGTTGACAACCAAGAATAGCCATCACACTGTCCTACAAAAACTCTTACAAAGATATTTGGTGATCCTGGAGCTACCGACACTGACCCGAAAGGTAAGCAAATCCTATCTGCCGTGGGTTTGGAACAATCTCAAGGGGGAACTCAAGGCCCCATCCTGAGACATAAACAGGGGCCCCACCCATTTGAACATATAAAAGTGAACTTTGACTGACATTCAGCCTGAAAGAGAGGACCAATATTTGATGCTTATAGTTTGCACTTTACAGCCTGGGTAGAAGCTTTTCCTATTTGCACAAACAATTTGTTTGGAATTTGCACACACAATACTACCCACAATGATAAGGCTAGGTCAATAGAATAAATAGGACTATTTAAATGACACTGGCCAAACATTACTAAGAAACAGACCTCTTTCAGCCAGAAACTCTGACAGTTGTACAGTGTACCTTGTGAAAAGGAGTTACTGTCCTACTGAGATCATGTCTGGCCTCCCACCTCCACTGTTTCCAAAGGACTTAGGGAACCTCTGAGATTATGGATGCATACACCTGCTTCCAGCAGTTCTTGAAAGTTCTCAGCTGACACTACACACACACACACACACACACACACACACACAATGTCTAGTCAAGGCTGCTCTGGACCAGGAATGCTTTGTAAGAACTGACCCAGACCAGCCTCTGTAACTGGCCATCATCTAAACATCCTGGGGATGGGAGTAATAGCTCAGCTCCTTCTCTGTCTCTTGATGTCCTTCCTGCTCATTTTTATTCTGTTTTTGTTTGGTGAGCATTGGTGCTTTACCTACACCTATGGCTGTGTGAGGGTGCCAGATGCCCTGGAACTAGAGTCATAAACAGTTATGAGCTGCTGTGTGGGTGCTGGGAATTGAACCCTGGCCCTCTGGAAGAATAGCCAGTGCTCTTAACCTCTGAGCCATGTTTCTAGTCCCGTCCTTCCTGATCTTGATGCACATGGGAACCACCCCTACTCAGTCTCTCTTTCCAGGGCATCCCCAACATCCATCCATATATCTATCTGCCTCCAAGAGAAGTTCTGCATTATCCCCTGGACCAGGCCAGCCACAGAACACCCCTTGGACCATACCACGCTGCCCATGCTTGAAAAACAGACTGTGATTCCATTTGGAGATGGTACCAGCTAGTGATACGTTATAGACAAGTATCCAGCAGACAAAGAATGGGCTGTGGGGGAGACTATTGACCTTATCTTAAATTCTGGTCATTTGTGGACTTTGCCACCACAGAAGGCACCTGGAAGGGAGCGCCCACAGAGGGACAAGGAGTTAAGACTGTAACGGGCCCTGGAGGGGAACTAACATGGGAACAGACCACAGAGAAGCCTTTCATGTGGGAAAGCCATGTCTCAAAATGCTGGCTCTAGTAAATGCCATCCACGGGCTCCTTAACCTAGGTCAGGCTTGCCGGATGTGCTTACAGGCAAGCTAGGTTACTTCTACTGGAGTGAGAAAGACTAGACAAAGCCTAACTTTAAACACAAAAGGGACACTTTTTAACTGGGCCACCTATTCAGTTCATAGGACCCAATGTGTGGGAACCAGAAAGGGCTGTACCAGACTAGCTAAAAGAACAGTAGTTCCTGATGGTACATAGTTCTCCCGCCACCAAGGCATTGACACCTGCTACCCAGGAGACAGTCTTCTTGACACTTGACTTAGTGTGCTCCTAGAGAGTGAGGTGCAATAGTACTTGCATCCCTGAGATTCAAGGAATAAGAAAACGCCTGTTCTTTCACTAGGTCCTGTTGGGAATGGCCCTGGCTGGGTCCATGACCACCAGGTGCCACTGCAATAGGCATCCAACAAATCCAACACCGCCATCTCTCTACCCAGCTCCGGGAAAATCATTCAGGAAAGCATAGCCACTCAGAAGCAGAGAGGTTCCTTTGCAGCAATCCCCTCCCAAGTCACAGAGGACTAGATGTGAACGCCACTGGGGGAGGCACATGCGTGGTTTCAAATGAGAAATGCTGGTTTTGTGCTACTCAATCAGGAATAGTGTGAGAAAGTGCCAAGAGTTACTTAAAGGGATTAAGGACCAGAGGTGCAGGTGGGAGCTATGGAGACCATACATCAGGAGTATCAACCCATTGCTTCAGGACAGATCCATCAGCTCTTATGAAGGTGAACAGGAGGGAAGGGGTAGAATAAGGCAGGAAAGACCAATTATTAGATGCTGGTTTATTGATCTATTTAGTGGTTTACTTAGAACACTGCTTGGATCGCTCATTTTCAAGCATAACTTCATGTGCTCACTCGAATGGACTGTCGGGGGGGTGGGGGTGAGGGGACAGTTGTCCTTAGCAACCTGCTGACTGTCACATACCCTTCTGTGGAATCTTGCTCGCTTGCCCTCTCCTGCCTTCTTGGTTTAGAGCAGAAAATGAGAATGCAAACCAGACCCGGAAGGAGGCCTTTCAGGAACTGTCCTGGCTTGGGTCCACCAGCGACATCTCCCGTTGTCCACACTCGCTGGCGTTCAGACTCTCTCGCCATCACCACTTCCTCCATTGCCACATTTCAAAGAGAGCAGAGCAGGTCCTGGGACCTCTCAGGCTGTCTGCGGTCAGCATCAAATGGGAAGCATTACTGCACTGCTGGGAAAGTGCCAGCATGAGCTGCGGTTTGAAAGGGACTGGGGGCCAGAAAACTGCAAAATTCTTCTTCTTTTTAAAGAAGAAACTTTTCATTCAATAAAATTTGAAATTTGAACACACACCTGTCATTCATGAGAAAGTGTCTCTCTGTTAACAAAGAGCCTGCGACAGATGGGCCTTTTATAAAATTCCAATTTTATTGTTTTTTATTGTTTTTATTGAGCTATATATTTTTCTTTGTTCCCCTCCCTTCCTCCCTCTCCCTTTATACCCTCTCCCATGGTCCCCATGCTACACAGGGTTTCTCTATGTAACAACCCTAGCTGTCCTGGAACTAGCTCTTGTAGACCAGGCTGGCCTCGAAATCACACAGATCTGCTTGCCTCTGCCTCCCAAGTGCTGGAATTAAAGGCGTGCACCACCACCCAGCTAAACTGCAAAATTCTTAAGCAAAGGGCTGTGTTTGAGTTGCTGTTGTAGCCTCAAGAAACAGAAGTTTGAGTAAACCTTCTGATTGCTTCTTGTGTTGATGTGTTTGTACCCCGGTCTAAGGGAGAGTCTGGCATTCACATAGGAAAAGGACCCACTGGGTCTGAGCTTCCTCAGACTGGCTCTTCATGGCGAGCCGTGAGGACTGAGCCTGCACATGGTTTTTGTTTGTTTGTTTGTTTTTGTTTTTGTTTTTTTTTTTTGTTTTTGTTTTTTAGGAAGCCTAGAAAGTTTGCAAGCCACCTAGAACTAATATCTGTATCATCACAGATTCCTTTTTCAATTAAACTTTTACAGATAACTGTAAGTCTAAATGCAATTATAGGAAACAGCGCAGAAATATTTCCTATAGGTGCCACTCACATTTCCCAAAACTACAATGCAGTGCAAAAATCAGCACATTAACAAGATGAGCGCATTTCTCCCCAGCTTCCTCCACAGTGTTCTTTTAGAAGCTCACCTTTCCCCACCCCACCGTGGATTCTTCCTGCATTCATCCGGGTGGGGAGGATTAAGTGTCTGCAGTGACCAGAGGATGGCCCTGAGTGTCATTCCTCAGGTGTCATCAATCCTTTATTGTGAGACAGGCCTCTCCCTGACCCGAAACTTGTGAAATAGATCAGGCTGGCTGCTCAGCAAACCCCAGAGATCTGCCTGTCTCTCCGGGCCAGTGCTGGAAACTGTGAGCACATAACTCTATACTCGGCCTTTCTCACATGGTTTCTGGGGGTTGAGTTCGGGTCTTAGAGATAGAAGGCAAGCAATTTACCAACCGACCTCTCTCCCCGGCCCAAACTGACTCTAAATTGACTCTACTTGAAGTTTAAATGAAATGAATATTGTGTAAATATGAATATAGCTTGTTTTCTTTCCTCCTCCTCTCCATCCTCCCTCTCCTCCTTCTGTTGTGCTAGGGATTGAAACTAGGGCCTTACATGGGCTATGCAAATGGAGTGCTTGTCAATTGTAAGGCTAGGGGCTGGAGAGAAGGCTCAGAGGTTAAGAGCAGGGGCTGCTCTTCCAGAGGTCCTGAGTTCAATTCCCAGTACCCACATGGTGGCTCACAACCACCTGGCCTGCAGGGATACACGCAGGCAGAACACTGTACACATAATAAACAAAAAGGAAGAAAACTCTAAGGATAAAGACCACACGTTAAATCATAATGGAAAACAGAACAAATCGCAGTGAAGACTGTGACATTGAGGAACATTTGCTGAGTGGAACCGTACATTACATAGCTACATTCTGCTCAGCTCGGTTTTGTGTTTGGGCTTTGAACCTGGAGATCAGAACTGGCAAGCAACAAAGTACTTGGACCGGTTCACCATCCCAACGATCTTTCTAAGTCCTGAGAAAGTGAAAAGTCTCTCGCCCTCCTGCATGGGAAGCACCAAGGCAGGAAATCTGAAGGTGATAGTAAAGATGAAGGAACTTATTTTGCTCAGGTATTCACTTTCAAAGTACCTAAAAAATATTTTTAAAAACGCACGATTCCTAGCTACGAGAATGAGCCTCCAGGTCAGATAGGTGTGTCAGGCCCCCAAGACTTCCCAGCCATCACTTCAGAGCATGCTTATCCATCCGGTGGTAAATATTGGACCGGACGTCTTCCTGCTGGGAGATGAAAAGAATGCCTTCACCATGATCACAGAGTCTGGTGGGCTCTTTTCCCAGGCTTGCTGAGCTCTTGTCCGTGTCCCTTCCCACAGGCTTCTTAGACCATGAAAACCATTCTTCCCACTGAGGGGAGGAGACTCTCTCCCATCCCATGTGTCTGGGTGGGAGTTTGTATGGACAATGGAATAGAACAAAGGTGATAGTTACATTGCTGGGGGAGGCTGTGGAGCCTTTGGGGTGGGGGACCAAGCTGGAAGATATGGATCATTCAGGGCAGGGGTATACCTTTCTCCTGTTCTGTCTCTGAGTCTCATCAGGGCCGTGTGAAACTGGACATGAAGTAGGTAAGGGACCTACCTGGCCCATTCTGTTTGGAATTCTGCTCAGAGGCAAGGTACCAGGTTTTAAGGAAGCCTGGGTTCCAGGCAGGATCCATACATAGGTGTCTGGCGAGGATCCCAGTTAAGAACGTAGTGTTCCCTGACCCCAGACACATGAGACTGTGAACTTTTCAACAATCCCACCCACCCTCTAAAGTCTCTTCTCTGAGACCCGGAGAGCACAAAGCAGAAGCCAGCTGCTTCTGCTGCGCTATACTGAGTTTCTACTTCTGCCTTCACGAGTAGGTTCAATGATTAGTATCATGGTTCAATGATTAGTATCATACACACAAACACACATTCTGGTGATCCTTTTATTTTCACTTGTATACAGTGGAAATGATACAGATATTGTCATATTAGAGGTCACAGATGCCAGTAGCATTACATGGAACAGGTGCATCACAGGGTCCTAGCAGTGCTCATGAAGCTAGCACATACTCATTACTGTACAGCCCTAGCTAGGCAGAATCAGTACTATGTTTGCATGCTCCCCAAAGGCTTATGTGTTTCAACACTTGATTCTAAGATGGTGGCACTATTTTGAAGCACCTTTAGAAAGTAAAGCATGGCTGGAGGAAGTAGATCTCTAGCGACCTCAAGGTGTATAAGTTGACCCTGCTTCCTGTCCCATCCTGTCTCTGCTTCCTGACCTGTCCTTACACAAGCATGCAACCTCAAGTTCCTGTTGCTTTGTCTTCCCCTCCTTGAGGGTCTGTATTTCTCAACGATAACCCACACCTCTCTCCTTGCTTCACAGGGCACGGGCAGCCCCTGGCCTTCCTCGACTTGTAGAAGCCTACTTCATACTAAATCCATCTGTACTTTTTCCCTGTTTGCCTTCTAAGTCAGGCACTGTGACTACCCATCCTTAGGTAGCATCTTTTCAGATATTTGGTGACAGCAATGTGAAGGTGGCCAATGCAGTTTGTGTGCACACATGCCTTAGAGGAAGGCAGCTTCTAGCTGCAGGAAGATGCCTGATGCATACCACTCGGGTCAAGAGACCTATGATCACACTGTGCAACTCGTGTGAGGTGTCAAGCGCTTAGGTGGAATTTGAAGGGACTAAGAACTATGCGACTCGCTAAGCAAAGAGGGTCACTGAGCCCAGGAAAAGGGGAAAATGCATCCCAATTGCCTAGGTTTGCAAGAAGGATAGAGGTGTGTATACAGAGGGCCGGAAGAGCAATCGCCAGAAGCCTATGAGTAGCTGGGATGCCAGCGCCACCACAGCCTGGCCCAGTCCCCAAGGCCAGGTTGTCTAGAGACAGCTCCTTTTAGACATACAGAAACAAATTGAAAATTAACCTAATCTTCTCAACTGACCCCTCACCAGGCAACCAGCATCAACTGAGTCGTCTTCATATTGGCAGAACGTGTGAGGTACGGATAACAGCCAGTGTTGGTAGCACACTGGGTGACCAGGGTCATCATCAAATGCCTAAGAGCAAACACTAGCAATTTGGCACTATCTCTAACATTTATAACTTCTAAATACAAACATTCTGGGGCTAGAGAGATAGCTCAGTGGCTAAGAGCACCCGCTACTCTTACAAGGGATCTGGATTAATTTCCCAGCACCCACATGGGAGCTCATAACTTTAGTCCAGTTCCAAGCGTTCTCACATCCACTTCTGGCCCCCACAGGCACTGCACCTACATGGTACAAATCCGCACATGCAGGTAAACGCTCACACATAAAATAAAAACAGGTAAATCAATCTTTTAAGAATAAATGCAAATATCCTTCAACTCATAAATTATACTTCTAAGATAAATCCCTCCCCTTTTTATTGTTTGTTTCTTGTTTTGTTTTGAGACAATGTCTCACAGTGTAGCTCAGGGTGGCTTTGAACTCACAGGAGTCCTTCTGACTCAGCTTTCTGAGGGTTGGAATGGCAGGCCTGAACCATGACACTTGGCGTCGACAGATTGTGTGAAAACTCCCAGCCTTTGTGGAGGAAACTATTAGTATGGTAGGGGTGAGAAGCACTGGGAGGCACGTAGAAGGTAAGCACCAGAGGTAAACAGATGGCAGGCGCCGCACCTGAGCGCAAGCTGCGACAAAGGTGATTTATGAAGCTGCATCACGGTCATAAAAGGCTTCTCTGTTAAATATTTGATCCTTGCAGCCAGACCACCCTAGAATCGAGACACTTCCGCATAAGCTGCCACCTTCCTTCTCTCTACCCATCTCCCAGCAGTTAGCGGAAAGGAAAATTCCGCAAGCTCAGAAGCCAGTTTTCGAGAACTGACCTCACAAATGTTCGTGCACGGCTCACCTCTCACGGATCTGGGAGGCAGATATGACATGCCAGGTTGACACGTGGGCAGAATGCTTCCTTCCTGAGGTTTTGAGGGAGGTCCAACCCACACCTCTCTCCTTGCTTCACAGGGCACGGGCAGCCCCTGGCCTTCCTCGACCTGTAGAAGCCTGCCTCATACTAAATCCATCTGTGCTTTTTCCCTGTTTGCCTTCTAAGTCAGGCACTGTGAGACGTGAAGAACAATAATAGGGTTGAAGAGATGGGTGAGTCGGGGAAGTATCTGCCAAGCAAGGG